CTCCCCGCGCCCCTCGGTGGCGCGGGTCACTCTCCTCTGTGGCCCTCCGGGCTCCGGCTCCTGGGGCGCAGCGAGGTGGATGACTCGGGACTCCCCACGGGCGCTCCCCCCCCCACCTCCCGGCCGCCTCAGTGCTTGGGGTGCCATCCACACCAATGAGCGAGCCTCCGCAAACTTTATTTTGCAAGCTCTGTTAACCCCGGGGACAGTCCTGTGGCCCCCCAGTGAGGGGCTTCGCTTGGATTTTAATGAAACTCATAAGCCAGTGGAAGGTGTAAGTGCAGGGTGCACAGAGCAACTTTCTCAGAAACCCCACCTTGAGCACCCCTCATCCACTTGAATGTCTCCTCCCTCCAACTCCCCCCGCTCCCGGCCCCCCACGAGTCCTCGGTACCTCCATCTGAGGCTCTAATGACTTCGTTTGATTCAGACCCTGGCTTCCCCCATTTTCTCTCTTCCCTGAAGCAGGAAGAGCTAAACACGTGAAAGTTGTCCCCGAGCCCCGAGTGATGCGCTTCCCCTTTCTGTGTCTTTTCCACCCCCAGGCAGCGTTAGCCTTCTCCATCATCCTGACCCAGGGAGGGAGAAGTGTCAGGAGGAAACTCCTCACCCTAATCTGCCCCACCACACACCCACCGGCTCACCTCATGCCTGAGCCCCGGGTGGGTGAGGGTGAAGAACCCACCCAGCCAAGATGAAACCTTTCCTGGGGGCTGCCGCCGCTACTGTCTTGCCCCTGATCCTGGGGCCCTGCAGGTGGGAGACTGGTCCTGGAAGGAGCCCTGGCAGCCGGCTGCAGAGGAGGTGAAGAGGGTTTAAGAAGAGGCACCCATCCCAGAGGCGGAAACTGATTGCCTTCGCCCGTGTAGACGCGTTTAGGAGAGGAGGACCTGTTGGTGGACAGTAGTTGAACCCGGCTCCTAGGCTGCCCTTCCCTGGCAACGGCAGCATCATGAGCCAGTTTCAGGTGCCCTTGGCGGTCCAGCCGGACCTGCCAGGCCTTTACGATTTCCCGCAGGGCCAGGTGATGGTAGGGGGCTTCCAGGGGCCCGGGCTTCCTATGGCTGGGAGTGAGAGCCACCTGCGAGGGGGTGGAGATGGGCGAAAGAAAAGAAAAAGGTGTGGGACCTGTGAGCCCTGCCGGCGGCTGGAGAACTGTGGGTCTTGTACCAGCTGCACTAATCGTCGCACGCACCAGATCTGCAAACTTCGCAAGTGTGAGGTGCTGAAGAAAAAAGTGGGCCTGCTTAAGGAGGTAAGCGGGCCTCGGCTAGGCTCCCCGTCCCTTGTGCGAGGGCGTGGTCATCACGAGGGTCTGGTTAAAGAGACCCATCCGGTTACACCTGCCCTTCTGTTTCTGGTCTCCTCTGGGGCACAGCCTGCTGCTGTTGGAAGCCCAGTGGGCTCCTTTTCCCGGCTGATGGTTTGTATGAGCGCAACTCGGTCCCTTGCAGAGCGTTTATAACTGATGCAGGACGGAGATGTCTGGCTTGAGCGTTAGAAGTTTCTCTTCCTGCTGGGAGCCTTGGGTGGATTTTAAGGTGACCGTATGTATGTGTGCGTGGGTGATGTGGGCAGCCGCGGTGACAGTGGGGCAGTGGAGGCGGGTGAGGTTAGAGGAAAGCTCCGGGTGACAGGTGGGTGTGTTTGCGCTGTCCTGATGGGGCGGGGTGTTTCTCCCCTAAACCTTTCCTTGGTTGGGTTCTTGTTTTTCCTCAAACAGGGAATTGAGTGAGAGACCCATGACTGGGGTTCTCGATGGCATGGGATACTGTCCGGGGCGGAACGGTTTTTTGGCATAGTAGTATTTTGGTGGGTAGTAGTCACTGGATACCAACGTATGAATGAATGACGAGCTTTTGAGATACTGTCAAGGGCTCCCTGTGTTCTGGGTAGAAGACGGAGGAAGACTGGGGGTAAGAGTAGCCAGAGTGGGGGTCGGGGGAGAAGTGGAGAGGCAGTGACCCTGGGTCGGGCTTCTTTCCTTTCTACCCTGGTGATGGACACCCCACACGAGGTTGGTGGCCGCTGTGACAGGAGGGAGCTGGCGAAAGCAGGGACCAGCCAGCAGAACAGATTTTAGGCGGAGCGTCGAGCGGCTGCTGCAGCCGCTCCAGGCAGCGGAACTGGCGCTGGACAGAGACAGAGGCCTATGCAGTCTGTAGGGCTCCTGGCCCTGCCCCTAACTTGTCCAAGAGCCTAGACTATTCTGCCCCTCTGGGCCTCTCTTCTTGTGGGGGAAATGGAGTTCTCCTCAAAGCCCCCTCAGCTGGGCCAGAAGCTGCTGGGCTCCGAGCATAAGGTCACCTGTGGCTGCTCTGGGTATGCCGCCCGCCCGCCCGCACTCGGGATTTCCCTGACTGCAGAATGAGAGCTGGGCCTCAAGCCGGTGGGGCTTTGGCTGGGAAGACAGATCTCAGTGCTAGGGGCAGGAAGTGGGTTCTGCGAGGGTGCTTCTGTCCCTTAACTCCCTCTGTCCACTTGCTGCACACCATAAGTCATGACTCGGGGACGACCGTCTGTTCCCTGTTTACCTTGACCAGTTAAAGCAGACGTCTGGGTCAGGTCTGCAGCTCTCCCCCACCCCAGCCTTGGGGCAATGGTGCCCAGCCCATCTACCATGCTGCTCACCCTGTGCCCGCCAGGTCATTTCTTAGAGGCTGAGATAGGTATAACCTGGTGTTAGGTTGTGAGAACTATGTTGCATGGCCAGATCCCATCCTTCCCTTCTTCCGAACGGGGCACTTCCTTTTTCTATCCCAGTCTCTCTCTCTCCACCCCTCTGATAGACTCCAGGGTAAAGATGCTGAGCCCTGTGGGCTAGATATTCTTGGTGGCCCTTGTGGGTGGCGTTAAGTGCCGGTTTTGGCAACAGTGGGACATAACCTGAATGAAAGGAGCCGGGAATGAGGCCAGGGCCTGTCATCTTCTTCTGTAAGCTGCTGGCCAGGCTGCTGGGTGGTCATGGTAAAGATCCCGTGGACCTGGGGCGGCAGAGGCTTAGAGACAGCCCTGAGAAGTCTGTGCACCCGACAGACCTTGCCATGGTTGGCGGCTACCCTAGGCCCCTAGCGTCAGGTAAAAATGTAGCTCGACATTGTGATACCCGAGGACAGAGGGTCTACATGTGGGTCTGTAGACCAGGGTTGGCTCCAGTGTCAAGAGAAATAGTGTAATGTGGGGACAGTTTTTTTTTTTCCTTAAAGCTAGCTATTTCGTTGTTTGTTTGCATGCATTTATGCACCGTGGTGCATATGAGGAAGCCAGGACAACCTGGGAGTCAGTTTTCTTCTGTGTGGGTCCCGAAAAACAAAGTCAGGTCCTCATGCCCTGCAGCTGACAGCTTTACCCACCAGCTTGATGATCCTAACTTTTTTTTTTTAAGAGCAGTGCTCCAAAGGTGGGTCCCTTCTCTTTGATATTTAAACTTTGAAGAAAGAGGTTTGTTGTTGTTGTTGTTGTTGTTGTCTTGGTAACTGGTGGCTCTCCTTTACGAAAACAAAAACGACCTGCTCAAAAAGGCTTGAAAACCCGGGAACTGCTATCTAGACAACACCCCATCTAATGGACTTGTCTCTGGCATGTTCACAGGCTGAGATGCGCCTGAGAGACTCTGCTTGAGCAAAGTGTTTAACAGCCCCAGGGGACTGAAGTGACCTTAATCATTAGATCTTCTTAGTGCTCTAAAGGAGAGTGTCCCAGGACTGGGGAGGTTCGTTCGTTTGTTTGTTTGTTTGTTTGTTTGTTTGTTTTTTGCTTGACTCTTGTGGTGTGGTGGGTTACTCCATCCCTGGAGCCTCAGAAGTCTTACCCTCTGCTTTCATCTCTGCCTCCGAGTTTTTAGACCTCTCGGCATCCTTCCTTAACTCCATCCTGACTCCACTCTCCCAGCTGCCTTTGGAGTTTCTTTCACACTGTCCGCTGACCGCTGCTTGGCACCATCCTGTTACAGGATGGGCAACACTTATCTCGTGTTTTTCCTTTTGCTCCTCTGTTTGGCTTCCTTTTTCCCAGAGGGCTTTGGGAAAGGTACGCCTGAGTCCCTGGACTCAGTAGTTCAAATCTGAGGATTAAATAAAGATGGCTTCCCAGGAGCAGGTGGTTGCTCCTGGGCTGGCAATAGGTATAACACATCAGAAGGAGTTTGTACCTCTCCTGGGGTCTTCATTCCTCGTTCAGAAAGATTCGGAGCTTAGGCTGGTGTCAGTTTGATTTGCGTTCTTTTCTCTTGAATAAAAGAAGGCTTCTCAAAGTAGAGTTTGAGGGTGAAGCATGCTAGGGCCACATAGGAAGTCCCTCTAGCGTGGGTTTTCTCAGTTGTGAGATAAGGGTGATCCTTCTCAGGCTGTTACAAGGATGAAATGTAAGATAAAATACGCATGTGTCTGGCACACAGTAGGTAGCCAGCACACAGTGACAGAATTAAACTCCAACATATAAACAACTGTGCATTAGTCTGAGTTGTAAGACTGTAAATGCAGATTAAATGTTTATCTTGAGACATCCCCTGGACTCTGGAGCCAGGTGTGGGAAGGGGAGTGTCTGCGCACCAGGAACAAGGCGGCACTGTGGTCCTGGGCATGGGCAAGGGAAGGAACGACCAGAGTACGTAGAGGAAGCAAATCTGTAGAGAGAAACCGATGCATCAGGTTGGAAGCAGAACAGTGTGGATGAGCAGCGGAGAAATGGTGTGTGGTTAGAGAGTGCTTGTTAGCCACCAGCCAAGTGCATCCTCTTCAGCTTTCTGACAAGATGCCTTGCAGCTCTTGGGGGCCAGGAGCCCTCTGAACAATGTCAGAAACCTGATGGGTTCTTCCTGAGCTAGCTGGTAGCTCAGCTCCTCGGGAGGGTGTTCAGCAAAGGGAAAGGCAGGGGAAAGTAGAGGGGACGAGATTTCTTTAAAAAGAAGCCCACCTGGTTGTGCGAGGCCCGAGAAGAGGCTGGGCGCAATGACTGGATAACCGTCTCTGAGACGCTGTTTTTAAACCCCATAGCCACAGACTCCATAAGGACAGTCAGAAGGAACTATGACAAGGGTAGTGAAGGGGGCCAAGCCTGACAGGAGCCATCTGTGTGGTCCACACCACCGTCAAGTGTACAGAGATGGTCCACGTGGTGCCCGCTGGGGCTTGTAACATGGAGGTTTGGGAGTGGTCTGAGCCTTCCCAGGCACATCAGGAGGCCCAGGGGCCAGAAGATACTATGCCTGGGAACCGCTTGTGACAGCAGATTCTCTGTATGCTCCAGCAAGGAGAAGGAAGTGAAGTAGGCCTTCAACTTAGGGAGCATCACTGGGCACAGGAAAACAAGCCACTGGGGAAAGGAGAGCCAGACACCACCCGGCACTTACACCCGACTGAGTATCTTCCCGAATGCTCCAAGGAAGCACTCTTTACAGAATTACGGTGATAAGCGAAGTGCAGTAGGTTAGGGCTGGCAAGAGGTCCGGTTTTTTGAGATACTGGAAATCATACACATTAGTTGTTAATTTTTGATCTAGACCAGCTTGTTGAAAGGGTGATGAGACATAGAAAGACTAGCAGTGGACTATCCTTAGGGAGCGCCTGAACTCACTCGGATCTGGATTTCAGCGAGGTGGCAGACGCTCCAGAAGTCTCGTGGACAGATCTGAGCTTCACTGCCCTGCCCATCAAACACTGTAGACCAGGGGTACTGCGCTGGGATCACTTGGGGAAAACGTAAAACTCCTAGTGCATGGGTACTGCCAGCCAGAAACCTTGACTCAATTGGCCTAGAAGAGACTTGACTGAGGCTCTTGAGGTGAATCTGATGTCGAGGTAGAGACTCTCTGCTGCAGACCAGAGAGGCGCGCCTCCCACCTGAGTTGCAGGTCATGAAGTAGTTTAGTCTCACTTCCGTCTTGCTATGCTGTGGACCATCAGTGTCCTGTCAGGAGTGCAGAATCTCTGGCCTTTTCCCAGACCTTTTGAACACAAATCTGTAGTTCAGCTAGATACCCCGGTGGTTTATATAACCATTAGATTTTTTTTTTTTAACCATTAGAATTTGAGGAGTGAATCTCCAATGCTTGTTTGACCAGGAGAAGGGGTGGGGCAGTGGGAAGGGGGTCAGAATACCTCATAACCAGGCCCAGAATTCTGGTTGTCAAGTGGGAAAGGAGAGCCCAACCCAGGCCTGACTCCGCGTTCATTCCTCTGGGGTCCCTCAGGCTAGTGAGTTTTGAGTAGCACTGTCTAAGGACTTGGGTGTGATCTGAAGACAGCCAGGAAAGCGCTCAGGCGATGTTTGCTGCTGGGAAGCCTGATGTGGGAGGCTGTAGGCCCACAGGTCACAAGCGGTGGCTAGCCGAGGGAGGGATACATCTGTGGAGTCTTGGGTCTGGTGGAAGGCTCTGCGGTTGAGCAGCGGATGGTGACTGGGAATTGGAAGTGAGGAAGTGACTATGTTGAAAGATGGTGGGAAGGGGGCTGAGGAGAGTGGAACAGCCCGAGCGGCAAGTCTCTGCCAAATTCAGCGGGACTGGAGAAAAGGAGAAAAGTCTAGATTTGTTTGACTTTTTTTTTTTTAGGTTTATTTTATGGGTATGAGTGCTCTGTTTGTGCATCATGTGTGTGCCTGGTGTCCTTAAGAGTTAGAAGAGGGTGTTGGATCCCTGTAGAACTGGAGTCATGGATGGTTTTAAAATCACATGAGCACCAGGAATTGAACCTGGGTCCTCTGCAAGAACAAATGCTAACCATGGGCCATTTCTCCAGTCCTCCTGGGACTTCTCTTAAAAAGAGCTGCACATGTGAGGAACCTTGATTTCCTGATCAGATAGAGAGACCTGAAACTCTGTAGAGGATTTTGTCAGCCTATCTTGAGATATGTCAGGGTGATTACGTATAGGACAATCAGAGGAAACAGGGCCAGTCAGTTTACAAATGAGTGTGGCAGAGGAGTCAATTCCTTCCTGGGGAGGAGGCTGCAGACCTTCTGTTAGTAGGTTCTAAGCAGGCTGGACTGAAGCAGTGTTAGAAAAAAATGTGTTTACAGTTTCCCCTAACTGGTGAACTAGCCTGAGGGGTGCCCTGTTTCCTGTACCTGGATGGTTCTGGATAGAGGCTGGGCTCTGCAGACTGATGATACGTTATGAAGGCATCCTTTGGAGTGAGAGATCCCTCTGGTCTGTGGGAAGTGTAACAGCAGGTGTAGCTTCATATTCCTTAGACAGCTTTATTGCAGAAGAAATAGCTAACCTGGGCCATAACATTTTTGGTCGCATTTTATACTTAATTTGTGTGTACATATATCTTTGTGTGTCTGTGTGTGTGCATGCACGTGTGTGGAGGCCAGTGATCAATATTGAGTGTCTCCCTCAATTGCTGTTTACCTTCTATTTTAGAGATAGTCACTCACTGTGTATAGTCCTGGTTGGCCTGGAATTCATTATGTAGACCAGGTTGGCCTTGAATGCAGAGACCCTTTTGTCTCTTGCCACCATGACCTGTCCATCTTGTTTAAAACACACACACACACACACACACACACACACACACACACACACACACACACACACACACACAGATCTTGATGTATATGGGCATTTTGCTTGCATATATTCATGTGCATCATGTGGAGAGGCCATAAGAGGCAGTCAGGTCCCCTGGAACTAGAGTTATAGATAGTTGTTAGCCACCATGTGAGTGCTAGAAATTGAACCTGTGTCTTTTGCAAGGACAGCCAGTGCTCTTAACCACTGAGCCATCTTTCCAGCCTAACCCTTGTTTTTTTTGGAGACAGTCTTCCACTGAGTCTGCAGATTCAGCCTCAGGGATCCTTCTGTCTCCACCTCTCGGGTGCTGGAATTACAGCATACACTGTGCTGAGCTTTTCCGTGGGTGCTGGGGGGTCACAACTCAGGTCCTTACATTTGTGCGGCTAGCACTTTACTAAATGGAACCTCTCCACAGCCCTTTTTTTTTTTTTTTTGGTCATGCTGGGGATTAGACCTCAAATACTTTAAGCAAGTAAGTACTTTATGACCGAGCTACACCCCACCCCCCTAGACTTTATCCTGTAACTGGAGTTAGTCTCAGGTCTGGGTGGAGGTCAGGTTTGTGAGCTTTCTGAAAGGTTCAGCTGAATGTCTCATGAAAGCGTGACAGGGTATCTTTGGGGAGATGGTATATGGTTTTTAGTACATTCTCAAGAATGTTCATGACCACCCTAGATTTTAAAAGCACGACTTACCTGAGCCATCCAGTGTGAAACCCATAAGCCATGGACGGCTATTTAAATTAAAATTAAATACAGTAATGGGCGCAATAACTACCTTCTAATTAGCTGCCCATGGCTAATGGTTCTTGGGCGGTGCAGATAAAGAATGGTCTTCTCTGGAAGTGGGGCCTCATACCTGGAATCCCAGCACTTGGGAGAAAAAGGCAGAAAGCATTCAGTTAGAGTCTGGCTTAACTCTATGTAGTCCAGCCTCTTAGGTGATGAGTTCCAGGCCAGTCTTAGCTGTGTCCTAATACCCTGGCTCTAAAAGTTAGTGCTATAGAAGATCTATTGGGCAGAGCTATGAGCTGGACATAGGGTGTCCCTGTGTGGTCCCCAATCCATCCTTACCATAGCGTCTTTCAGGTTGGGGGTCATGGCTCATAGCCATGGTTGGGAAGAGAACATGCTCTCCTGGATTCTAACCTCCTACAGAACTCATTCTTAAAGGCATGGCCATGGATTTCTTTGGAACGCAGTGGGGGTAAGGTGTGGTTCCCCACAGGAACCCTCCCCCCATAGTCCTGATCAAAGCCTCTGTGAACCTTGTTCATGTTAACTTCTGGTCCTGCACGTACTTGTTCACGAGCCCGGCCCAGAGTCAGGTCTGCCTTCGGCTGTCTCCTGGAGAAGGCAGTGTGGTGGCAGGTGGGCTGACTCCAGTGGGACTAAGTGTCTAGACTCCATCCCTTCTTTGCCAGTGGAGAAAGACGAGCGCTCGGGAAGAGAGGATGTGAGAGGAGGAGACCCCCGTGTTCCAGCTGGCTGTTCTGGAAGAGTCTGTTAGGATCACTACAGGCCTCTGCCTTGTGATCTATGTGGGGCGAAGACTGCTGTCACTCCTGGACTGTGTACACTTTGGTGGCCTTGTCTACTTGCATAAGAAGCTGACAGCCTGAGTTTCTACTGATTACTGAGGCAGAGGTGGGACATGGGTGGCTGGGAAAGCAGCTCCGTGTGGGATCATCAGTTGCCTTCCAGGTGAACTCGGGTCTGGGGGGTTGATTGATTACTTCAAGTAACGCAGGAGGTGGGCCGGGTTCTCACATGGTTCTGTTTGAACTGCTGAACTGACTTGGAGTTCCAGCATTGCTATGCCCGGGGAGTTAGTGGACAGGTTCCATGCCTCCCGCTGCTGCTGGCACAGCGACTCCAGGGTCTCAGAATAGGATGGGAATGTCACCGGCAATCTTAAAGGCATTGGTGAGACTGTGGGTGTCTATACCCCACTGCTCCTCTTGTCAGGGAAGTCTCAGGAGGGGACACGAAGACGCTGGGTCAAAACAAGTGGCCAGGTACTGGACTATAGCTCCACTTCTGATTATGTCAGGGAGACAGTTGGGCTGGTCTTGCCTGTCTTCATGCTTTTATTGATCTGCTCCTTACAGAGGTAAATCAGGTCCCCCCAAAGGTGTCAGGAATGGTTCTGGCACTCTAGAAGACAGCGGTGGCAGGCTCTTGCTTGAGGCCTGGGAGGAGTGGGGTGAGGGGATGCAGGGAGGGGGTGAAAAGAGCTGGCGCTAGAACAAGGAAGACCTACCTTCTGGAGTGCTTCCTGGGTCCCAGGACCTACAGTGCCCCTCTCCCGGGAGAGGTACAGCGCCTCTCTGGTGCCGCCTCAGTTTCCAGAATCAAGGTCGTACACTTGAACCCGTGGCTAGCCCTATCCAGCAAACCTCTCCCAAGGCAACATTTTCTTACCAGAATGCGGTTAGAAAGCTGCAAGGGAGGAGGTCCTTGAGGACAGAGTCTAGCCTCCGTCACTCGTGGGCTTCTTGCCGACCCACTGGGAAGGGAAGGAATAGGCCTTGAAAGTTGGGGTGTAGTGGCCTGTGAAGGATGGAGGAGGGCTCCGACTCTGCTGCGCCTGGAGCGCTGGAGGCTGATGGCAGAGGTGGACAAAGATTCAGGCAGCTGCTGGCGTACCTGAGGGTGTTCACAGGTCCTTGAGGGAGGTTAAGTGCGTTAGTTACTCTTGGAAGTCTTCCTCCAGGCCACCCTGGGGTTCTGAGGTACTCTGCGCCTTTTTTTCTGTAGCGTCAAATAGTCTGCTGTTATTTGAGTGGGTCCTGGAACATTTGGTGGTCCAAAAGACAGTTGAATTTGACCCTAACAGTACAACACCTTCTCCTAAGCATCTAGGACAGTGGTTCTCAACCTGTGGGTCGTAACCCCCTTGGGGGTTGCATATCAGATATTTACCTTATGATTCATAACAGTAGCAAAATTACATCTATGAAGCAGCAACGAGATAATTTTATGATTGGGGGAGGGGGTCACCACAACATGAAGACCTGTATAAAAGGGTTGTAGCATTAGGAGGGGTAAGACCCTCTGAGAGGAGGCGTGGCATACAGGCAGAGTGGCACTACCTGCCAGGGGCTCAGTGTGTGCACCTTATTTGTCAGAGTGGAAGTGAGGGGTGGGGGTTGGGGCTGCCTCTTTGTCCATCAGGACATCAGTGGTACCTGCCCTGCATCTCATTCTGCCGTACCTCCAAGGAGGGGCATCCTTTTTCTCTGCTCCTCCTCTGCTTCCTCCTCCTGGTGACTGCCATTGACAGACTTCCGCTGCCAAAGCTAATTGTGAGGTCTGATCAGTGAATGAAGGCGAAGGCAGTTCCCATGACAACCTCGAAGAGTTTCAAATATAGAGGATGATGTATGTGTGATGGGCTGCAATTACTTGGGTGGAAATGGATGCGTGGACACCAGGAAACATAGGCTCCAAGGGTGGAGGGGGTGTTAGGTTTTTGGCAGGATCCTTTTGTGATGGAGAGAGGAGGAGGTCACAGGTTCCCCCACAGTCAGTTCCTAGTGCCTTCAGCGTTGGGTACTTTGGAAAGTCAGGGCTGCAGTCGTTCTGGTAGGGGAGGCAGGACACATACACAGAGACAAACCTCAGGTGTTAAGAGAAATGTTAGAAGTGTTAGGGACTAGCAACAAGCTGAGGTAACCAGAGAAGGCTTCCTGGAGAAAGCGGGCTTCAACTGAGCGAGGAAGGAAAAACCCTGTGCAGACAAGCCTTGTTCGGGACAAGGCGGGGAAGAGAAGTGGCCTGTCTCCGGTTCCCTGTCCCCTCTGGAGGAGGTAGATGGACTTGAGCACTGGAGGCCTAGCCACAGTGGCCCTTGAGTATACCACCGTGAGCGAGAGAAAGGCCAGAAGGAGAGCCGCTGTCATTTCCAGCTGTGTGGTTGTGGGCAGGGTGTCCAGGACTCTGCATCGTCTGTCTGTAGAGTGGGTATGGAAATTGTGTCCCCATTGGTGGGGCTCCGCAGGCGTGGGGCTTGGTTCATTTGCAGTCTCCCCTTCCCTGTGTGTCTGGGTTCCTGCTCGTCCGTGGGGAGTCTGGTCTATGGATGGCCATGTTTTCAGTGTGTTTGCAGCAAGTTCCCCATTGACCTTCTCTCTGACCCCCACTCCTGCAGCCAGTACGGTGGAGACTGGGAGATCCAGATGGAAATTAGGGAAGGATCTTTGTCCTTATGCGGAGGAATCCCAAGTACCTCGCAGCTGGTCCCAGGGAGGCTCACATGTAGAAAGAGGGGGGCATAGAGAGAGGAGAAAGGTGTCAGGTAGGAAAAGAGCTGTCCTGGCATCACTTGAGTGGGATGAGAATGGGAACAAGCAGGCTGCCTTGGGGGCCACCACATGCTCCCTTGGTTTAGCCAAGGGCTGCTGGAGGGCAGGGTGGGTACCTGAAGTTGGCGGAGCACAGAGTTAGCAGAGGGAGATGGAGTGAACTCAGAGTTCCCATAAGCTGTAAGAAAGAGGCATGCATGCTGGTCCACAGTCCACAGTGGTAGGTCCTGCCTTTCCAGGAGAGTGGATGCTACCCCCGCCCCACCCCTCCACCCCTCCACCCCTGCCTTTGGGGACTTCATCTAGAAGCCTGACCAGGAGAGGAGACTCACCATCTCAGTGTCCAGCCATCTGCTACTCCACACTCCGGAGGTAGACTGCAGCTCAGCACATTCCAGTTCTGTGTAGAGCCCAGGAAAGCGGGGAAGATGGGGCCCCACCCACGTGGGGGAAGGACTGTAAATAAGTAACTGCTTGGATGTGACTGGCGCTCCAGAAGAGGCAGTATGTTGTTCTCGAGGACAGGGAGGAGCCTGGCTAATACTGGGAAAGGCTTGGTGACTGGGGACCTGGCAGAGGGGAGGTACTGTCTGGATTCAGTCATGCAGTACATTAGCATGCGGGGGAGGGGTCAGGGGGCAGCATTGGGAAGAGTGAAAACATTAGTATTCTCAGATCTGTGTGACAGGAAGTGGTCACTTTAAGTGACCCAGTTGTCTTCATATCTCCCTGGGCTTGGCAGAGAAAGGGGGGTAAAGAGGGTCGGGGAGGGTCTGGGTTTGAATTCCAGCCCACTAATTTTGAAGGACAAATTGTTCAGCATCTCTAAGACTCTTCCTTCTTTAAAAAACATGTGTAAAGTAGGTAAAATGAGGGGACCTGATACACTGTGGCAGCCGTAGTGGGAACAGTATTAACTGATACCTGTCCAAGCTGTGTTTGTCTCTGTGGGGTACACACGGGGTTTAGGGAACCAAGAGAAAGAAGGACTCACTTAGGCTGGTCAGTGATGTGAGTCCAAAGACACAAACACAGCCCGGTGGCAGCGGCGGGGCACACCTTTAATCCCAGTACTTGGGAGGCAGAGGCAGGTGGATTTGAACCAGCCAGGACTACAGAGCAAGTTCCAGGACAGCCAGGGCTGTTACACAGAGAAACTGTCTGAAAAACCTAAAACAAACCAACAAAAAAAAAACCCAACCCAAACAAACAAACAAACGACCCCCCCCCCCCAAATTCCCTGCTTTGTCCCTCGCTCTATCTTGGCATCTGCCTGCCTGCCTGCTCTGGGAGGGACCTGGTAAGACTGCCCTTTGTCCGGAAGAGGAGGCAAGTGTGAGCCCTGAAGCCGCCTCATTAGAGGCAGGCTTGCCCTTTCTCCTAAGGCGGCTTTTCTGGTTCTGAGTACCCCCCGGGGGCCCTGGGGTGGGGCACAATCATGCATCTGTGGTGGAGTGGGTAATAGAGCGAGTCACTAGAGCAGGGGCGCTCGTCTGTGAGTCACTTCTCTCAGGCCCCAGCTTATTCATCTGTGAGAATGAGAAAGCACCCCGAGCTCCGGCAGAAATGTAGAGGGCTGCAAGGCAGCAGCATCTACCTTGTGCCGGGCAGCTGGCTGGGTGCCTTCTCAGGGCCTCATAGCTGTGTGAAATGGCTGCCGGTTCCATTCTACAGATGAGAAGAGAGAGGCTTAGAGAGGTAAGTTACCACCGGCTAGGAACGGGCTGTGTGGGTACTAAAGTGTGTGTATGTGAGGTAGCAGCCTGGATGTTCCCTCTCAGGGATGGAATAGACGGAAGAGGTGCCTGGGAATTTAATACAGGAATGTGAATTGCTAGGACTTTGCCGCCCCCCTCATCCCTTCGGTCTCCTGGCCTTGGCACCCTTGGTATGTTTGGAGTTAGGGGACTGTCCTGGAACTCTTGAGGTCTGGGAGCCCAGGGGGTCTTTGGAAGGGGCACCTGGTAGAGCCTCTCCAGGAGAGACGACCGCATGACGACCAGCGCCGGTCGGGAGTGATCTTGGGGTAGTGAGGTGGGAGCCAGGGAGGGCACAGCTGACTTGGGGAAGCGCGGGAAGTATGGGCTACAGCCCATTTTCCCGAGTGGGGTACAAGAGGGCAGGGCAGGAGAGCTACAGAATGGCGAAGGGGTATGGTCTTCAGGGAGGACAGACCTGGCAGGGCGTCTGAGCTCCGCTGAGTTCCAGCGGTGTCACCTTCGGTAAGTTACTCCACTCATCTGCAGTCTGCAGAGCGCGGGTGTGAGTGAGTGAGTGAGTGTGTGTGTGTGTGTGTGTGTGTGTGTGTGTGTGTGTGTGTGTGTGTGTGTGTGTGTGTGTAGCTCCTGCTGCCCTGAATTCTCCTTGGAGGACTGAAGCTCCAGCTCTTGGCCGGCTGGAGAGTGGCCGGTGTGGGGTACCTGCGTTCCGGGGTACTCCGGGTGCACCCGCCGCCGGAGGTGCAGGGGACGCCTTGTGCTTGTTGCCTGATGGGGGGGGGGGTGCCCCGGGATCCCCGGCCTGCCTGGGAAGCAGCCCTTGTGGCTATGGCTTCCTCTAGCAAGGCCCCCGCCTGGCTGCTGGGCAGGTCCTTAACGGGGAGGGCCGGGCGCGGGATTGGCTGGCGCGCGCGCCGCCCCCTCGCACACCAGCCTGGCGGGGCGGGAGCAGCCGGCAGCTGGCCGCCGCCTCTGCAGTGCCTCCCTCGGTGCGCTCCCTCGGCGGGGATAATGGGAGGCCCGGCGGCGGCCGATGCAGTAGAGGAGGCCGGCCGAGGTAGAGCGCAGGGCCTGGAGGGGAGGGGAGGCCGCGTGCAGGCCGGGAGCGGGGGCCCCTGGATCTTGAGAGACCCGGGAACCGAGCAGGAAAACAAAACACTGGAAGGCGCAGGGGCCCATCGGCGCTCGGAGGCAGCTGGAGTAGGAAGATGGTCCCGTCCAGCCTTTCTTCCCCGGCCCTTTCCTCTCCAGTGCGCCGGGGCCTGTGCAGGACTGCTTTGCTGCTTGCCTGCCACCAGTCTGCCTTACCGGTGTCTTTGGCTTCTTTTGCAGGTGGAAATAAAGGCTGGTGAAGGAACGGGGCCTTGGGCACAAGGGGCGACTGTCAAGGTACCCTGCGTGCTTGCGTGCGTGCGTGTGCGTGTGTATGTGTGTGTGTGTGTGTGTGTGTATGTATACGTTTACGTGTGTGCGTGGGCGCGCGCGCGGGTGGGGGTTGAAGTGTTGGACTGGATTGATATAAATAAAGGGTCTCCTCTGGTGATTCTTTAATCTCCCACTGTGTGTGTGTGTGTGTGTGTGTGTGTGTGTGTGTGTGTGTGTGTGTGTGAGTGTAGCAGCAGCTGAGGGGGAGGGGCGGCGGGAATGTGGGCGGCCAATGAATTCTCAGGCCTGTGTGGGTTTTGTTTGGATTCTTTTTGCTTTCTCAGCTGGATGGTTTGGGTGCAGTTGGATTTTGGTTTGTTGAACTGTGTGTGTGTGTGTGTGTGTGCGCGCGCGCGCGCGCGCGTGCCTGTGTGTGTGTTAAAGACATGCAACCTACTCCCTGTCCCTGCCTCTGGGAATCTCTGGAGAATGGCCCTGGCACTGTTGGTTTGCATCCAATCTGCAGAAATCCCCGGGGTGCGTCGCGGGGAGTGGGGCGGGGGGGGGGGGGGGGGGGGGGGTGAAAGACAGTAAGGGGGAGGGAGAATTGCACTCCTGACTCCGAAGCTGATAGGGTGTCATTAGTCATGCTGCTGTCACCATGGAGATGGCTGGAGAGAGGAGAGGAGGTGGTGGGGGTGAGGATATTTTGGGTAGGGTGGGGGCTGATGCAACATCATGGCTAGGAAGCCAGCGGGTGTCTGCTGTTGTTCTGTGCCATTTGGTGTCTGGGAGCCCAGGAAGGCAGTGTTCCCAGGTGTGGGGGAAGCAGAGAAAGGGGTCCTGACCCATTCCAGGTGGGTTTTCAGAGGGTAGGGTGGTGCATTTGATGAGTGGGGGGGGGGAATGGAGAGTCCAGGGAGAATCTGATCACTGAGAAGCCATGACTAATCCTTCTAGGTTGGCAAGGACCAGATCAGTAGATTTCCTTTAGTTTGCCCCAGTTTACAGGGCTGGGGGCCCACCTTAAGTTTGGGATTACTCAGCAGTGTCCTCTAGCCTGGGAGGTGGGGGGGACTGGGACAGAAGAAACAGTGTGGATGTCTCTGAAGAGCAGAGACTGGAGTGAGTATGGGGAAAGGTGGCCAGGCCAGGCCAGCGGGGCTCTCCCTGGCATGGAGGAAACCCGGAGCCCGGTTGCTTAGGTAGCAGGTGGGCGAGCTGCGAGTGTCCCAGCATGCTCTTAGTCTTTTCCTGCAAAGCTGCCTCCTACTTCCTGGGAAAGCTGTGGGAAGCTCTGAGCAGGTGCTGGAAATGGCCCTCTGCCACCTCCCTGTCTGGGTGGTGACACTGTCAGGGTGGGGCCCTGCTGCTTCCTGTGTGGGTCGGGGGTTCCTGGGCTGGCTTACAAGGTGGATCTGAAGGCCAGGGTTAGTCCCTGGCCTCTTCCCAAGGCAGCGTTTAGAGAAGGACATGGTTTTGCTTCAGAAACAGTTTCTTAGGGAGGAAGAGCCAGGTGACCTCAGCTCAGAGGGAGCTGGCATGCCTCGGTGAGGCTGGGGAGCTGTTGGTAGTCATCTGGAAGGGGCCGTGGGAGACCCCCCAGGCAAGCAGAAGCATCAGTGACACTGTTTGTGCACGGGCTGCCGAGGGAGCTGTGGGCTCTCATTGGCTGACTTGTGCTCTTGCTGTCTTTTCTGGGGAGCCAGAACCCACAGTTTCCCACCTCCGCTTCCTTTGGCCACCCGCCGCTCACTGGGGGAGTTGTAGTCACTGGGTACACTGTTTCAAAAGTGTGGGCACTGGAGATGTTAAGATTCTGAGGCAGGCTCTTCTGTCCCCCAACTCCCATGAAAGCAGGACAAAAGGATGGAGACAGATGGGCTCAGGGAGAGGGGGAAGCTCCCTCCTTCTGTACCTCCATCCTCGTCTGCTCACGCTCGCCAGCACCCTCCTGCCTGGCTGCTGTGGTGATGCTGTGGCTCTCCTTGGCAGACCTGGGTCCTCGCCCTCTGCTAGTATGCGCTCTTTCCACCACCTGTTGTGCTGCCCCGGGACCTGGTCCGAAGGTCTTTTGGAGGCCCCCAGCCTAGTACCCCAGCCGCAGCGTTACAAAAATCCCTAGGTCTTCCCCGTCCCTGTCCACAGGACTTTGATTCCTCCTGCTCTGGGCATGCATCTGTGCTTGTTGATGCTGAGCTGCCTGCCTGTCTGAGAACCATGGCTTCCTCTCAGCCTTGGCGCCCACTAATACTCAGGTCTGAGCCCCTGCTTTTGCCTTTGTCTTTTTTTCCACATTGGATTTTCTCAGGGGGCCTGTTGGGGGGTGAGAGAGTTTTGCCCGGTCTGTTATCAGGTCATGGTCGAAGAGCCTCCTCTTGTGGTCAGCACAAAGGGAGTATGTATGCCTGTGTGTGTGTGTACAAGTTCCCACAGGACGGGCAAGCCCCAAGGGTGAATGGTGTCCAGCAGCCAGAAGAAGTAATGCATGTCTCCTTGTATGCTAATGCTGTCAGGAATATCCTGATGTGGGGATGCGTGCGGTGTCTGGCATGGTCACAGAGCAGAGCTTGGTGAATGCAAGTCGTCAGTTTACTATATATTATGCTTCATGTCATTTACCCGCGATATCCCAGGGAATCCGCCATAGCAGAATACCCTGTTGCTACCTCCTCCCCTCAGCTGCCTGGATAGAAGAGAGTGGCCAGTGCCGAGAGCACCAGGCTGCCCTGCTTTTGGGCTCCCACGCTCTGCCTCATGGGAGCACTGCACTGGCTAAGGCTGTCTGGAAACTATTTTGGTGCTGAGCCCAGGATCTCTGCCTTCTGTCTCTCCTTTTGACCACCCCCAAAAACGCCCTGTTGAGAATCTGCTGCATGACTCTCTGCATACTCTTGGTCACTCCTGTCTGTCACCTGCCCTTCAGCTCTTGGGAAGGTAGAGGAGTCCCCTTCCCCGGAATCATTTACAAGCAGCAATAAAGTTGAAAACGGGTGGGCCTGTTGTGCCGGAGCATGAAAGGAACCAACCAAGGGGATGTCAGGTTTACGCTGGAGAATGGAGAAAGGGCTTCCCCGTGCTTGGTAGGAGCGGGAGTTCATCGCAGGGCTCAGGTCCACCTCTTTGGCAACCCCAGCCAGTCATTTCTGAATGAGTATCAGCGAAGAGGAGGGACTGTGGAACAGTGTAAGGTGGAATGGGAGCCTTCTGTCTGCCCCAGTGCAAGGACCTGGGGCTGCATTCGGAGACCACCATGATGGCTCTGTTGGCCTCTTGCTGGGCTTGTGAGGAGGAGGGGCTTGGGTGCTCATCTGCTTCCAGCTACAGATGGACGTTTCTGCTAGAAATGGGCTTTGTGGTTTTGCCAAGTTCCCTCCCATACCCTGGAGGCTGTGGCAAGTGGTGTGGCTGGCTGGGGGGTCGGGAGCTGGGAGTATGGCAGAGGCTTTGTTTTGGCTCAGCTTTTGGGTCTCCCAATCCTCTTAAGACCTCGTTTCCATCCCTGACCTCTTGGGCTTTTGGCCTCATTTCCTCCCACACCCAGGCATCTGGCAGTCCCCAGGACCCCCGTTCCCAGCATCTGAGAGGCTTCTGAGGAGGAGGTGGCTTTCTCCTGGGCTCATCTAGGAAGTCTGTGCAGACAGGACAGGGGCGGCTTGCAGGAGTATAACCTGTAGCTCGGCAGTCTAAGCAGGACTCTGTTCCCATCCTCGCCTGCTTTTATCTCCCATTCCTTGTCTCCTCAACCTTTGCTGAGCCCTCCCGTGCCCCGGGACTAAGTACAGAGTCAGAAGAGAGAAGTTACTGTTCGAGTCTTACAAAAACCCTTAGACCTAAGAGCTGTGGACTGAATTCCTTCAGTTATGGGTGGGAACGCCAGTGTCGCCAGCGCGTTTTCATGCAGTCAATACCTTTGATCTCCACTGCGTTTGGGGCATATGAACTTGCACACACCAAACTTCTCATCACATGTGCACTTGGATGTGCTAGGCTTTCTTTGTGGCTTATTGAACCTCAGGGAACTTGGAATGAAGAATCAACAAATGTCAGCCTTGTTAAGGTTAGTGAGTGCTTCCAGGATCTGGTAGTGATGTGTTAGGGTCGTGTGTTGTGAAATGGATAAGGTGGAAAGGAAGCTTGATTTTTGAAAAAGCGTTGGGTTTGAGATGCAGAGAAGGCCGGATAAAATGCTACCCCCTGGGTCTGTTCATGTGAACTTGGAACTGCTTGCAGCTCCTTAGGAGTGAGGGTCTTCTGGTTGTGCACACCTTTCACCCCAGCATTTGGGAGGCACAGACAGGTGCATCGATTGAGTTGAGGCCAGCCTAGTCTGCATCATAAGTTCCACCAGAGCTGCATAGTAAGGCCCTATCTGAAAACATTTGTGTTCTGGAGCTGCAATGTGGCTTAGTCGAGCCTTTGCTATAGATTCAATCTCCAGCACTGCCAAAAAAACAGAAAAAGTCACCTTGTGAGCAGTTACCAGGATATAGTGGTGTGTGTCTGTAATCTCACATTTGAGGAGTAGACTGAATTCCAGGTTATCCTTGACTATGTAGCTAGTTTGAGGCTAGCCTGGTTTATATCAGGCCCCATCTTTAAAAAATAAGGTTTGAGTCTTTGTAGACGTTACTGCTTCACTGGCTGAGAGAGAGCAACAAGTAGTGTTTCTTCCTCTACTCACGGGCTTTGCCGTTAACTATGGGGAGTCACTTAGAGTCCCTGGCCATCTTTTCCTCTCTCTATAGCAGAGGGTTTGCCTTCCAAAGTTAGTTTTCCTCAGACTAAATCTAGAAACAGAGCAGATTGTCTTTTTAGATTTTCTCCTTTTTTTAATTTCCAAGACTTGGTCGGTCGGTCCCACTTTGTACAGTTAGCTAACAGCTTGTGCAGCCTACCTCGGGTGTTCGGTACTGTTCAGAGCATCCTGTGAGCTGTCCGCAGGGCGCTTTCCGTGCTCTTGCTCTTGGATGTCCTGTAACTAGACTAGGATGTCCTGTGTGTCCGATGCTGGACTGGGTCAG